CCACAAGTGGCATTTTTTGCTGGGCATTTTGGACACCATGACATCACCTCTCCACTAAAAAGTAATTATCATTTTATCTGTAAGTACAGTGGCAGCGTTTGCTTGGGGATTTAAGATGATCTCCGGAAAACACTTGGAAAATATCCTGTCAAATAAGGTCCTTTAGATCTGAGGTCTAAAGACAGAAGAGGAAGGTAAAAATAAGGGTGGCTGTGTCGCTTTACAACCTAAGATTTAGGATCTGAAATCTTTGTTCTGTTTCAATTCTGAGACCTTTGCACAAAAGGCAGCCTGGAGGGGAAAAGAAAATAATGAAGTAGGAACAAGCTGCCTTAGGGTAAGAAATGGACTTAGAGGAAGTTAAGAAAGTTTTATTTACAGTTTCCATGGGCGCATGTTTAGTGACTATTAGCTGTCAAACCTGATTCTTCGTGTATGAAATTTATCAGAACGTTAGACAGAAAGGCTTTGAAAATAATCTGCCTGTACTGAGTTGATATTACCATTGAGAAAGATGGACATTTAGATAATGCATCTTAGGATTTTAAAGAATTGACACTCACTCTGGATATAGAATTGCCTTTCCCATAAGAAATGCTTCTGGCAAAAAGCTACCGGCCATTACTTACAGTGTCCAAAGATGGAAGCAGCCGAAATGTCCATCAACAGATGAATGATTAAAGAAAATGCAGCATATACAAAATATACAGTGAAATATTGCACAGCTACCTCCCAGGACAGAATGGGATGCTTCAGCTTTTCCCTCCTGCAGCTGAGGGAAAGTGCCCAACGTGTCCAGTGAGCTACACGAGAGGGACACATTCCCTCCTGACATCAGCCTGGGGCTTGGAGGAGCTGCGAGGGAGAGTGGGCTGGACAGTCCTTGGGGGAGGAAGAGGGAGCTGTGCTCAAGTGTGCACTGTAGGGCGTGAGGTTGCCCTGAGACACACTTGGTTTCCAACTGCCCGAGGGGAGGATCCCACAGTGGGGAGGGGACCTGGCTCCTCTCTTTTCTGTGTCACCATCAGGGATGCGCTCATTCTGTGTGGACCAGCCATTACATGCACACAGGCACGACCCTGCACTGTGTGAGCTTGTGTATCCAATGATGAAAGTGGCCTTGTCCCTAGAGTCCTGTGGACTGGTATACTCAAGAGCTGAGAGACCTTCAGCTCGTATAGAAAGGAGACATCAGACATCAGCATGCAGAGACCTCAGACTCCAGGTGGTCACAGGGGTCCTTGTGGTGACACTGGAGCCTGGATGAGCCCAGATGGAGAATTCCAGGGTGGTGGTGGTGGGGGTTCTTGAAAAGAAATCCAAGACAGAGCTCCTGGTGGGGTAACCTGCCTCACTTTCCCCAGCTGTCACTCCAAGGCCCCTCCCGTTTTGATTATCATCACTCCAGACTGGCCTGGCTGTACTCCCAGGACCTGCCCCCCAAATCCACGTTTGATTTCACTGGGTTGAACCAGGAAGTCTTGTGGAAGGCACTGGCCTGTGCTGTTTCCATGACCCCAATACAGCCCCACAGGAGGGTTCCCTGTGAGTGCTTGTGCCCCTCTCACATGTAGAGGCTGCTCCAGGCCTAGTCTCGGCCCCTGAGAGCTGGTGTCCTGGAATGGGCTGAGCACATTCTCTCTGTTCTTGGGGGCTCTGCCTCCCCTGAGCTTCCTGGATCTCTGGGGTCCCCCAAGGGACCATAACCTGGGAGTGGGGAGGGGATTGAATCCCTCTGCTCTCACCAAAGCCACTGTGGTAGAGAAGGGCAGTGAGGGTCAGGATCATGGTGCCACGTCCCAGGGTCCCCAAAGATGCAGACAAATTATAAAGACAACAGAGCACAGAAGGACAGATGGACACATGGGACATTACAAGTCCTAGGCTCTGTGTCACAAGTCACATGGCTCCTTGTTCAGGGCCTCACAGGAAGGGACAGCCTGTCCCTGGGGCCTTGAGCAGCTCTCCCTGAAGGATGGGGCTGAGGACACAGCAGGTTCTGGGGACCTTTCAGACCAGATCTGAGTCTTCCCTGCCCAGCCTTCTCCACCTGAGGCCAAACCCAGGTCTAGGGAGTGACCATTGTCCCAGAAAGTGAGGCTGCAGGGGGAGGAGAGGAGCCAGCCCAACTTCAGTTGGCAGTTTGACTCTGCTTTGCACAGTCTATGTGACCAGGGCCAAGGAACTCCCTTTCCTGAGCTTCTGTGAATGCAAAATTTCTTCCTCCTTTTCATCAACCAGAAAGTTCAATGTATTGAGCAATTACCACATGGCAGAGATAACGAAAAGTTATGAAACTTCTTTGGGTGATAGTCAGTTTTTGTCAACTTGGCTAATTCATAGAGTGCCCAGACATTAGTCTGGTGTGTCTGTGGTGTGTTCTGGATGGGATGTGAGTCAGTGGACAGAGGGAAGCAGATTGCCCTTGTTACAGCAGGTGAATTGATAGAACTGGCAGAGGGAGGCTGGCTGAGCTTCGTCTCATGAGCTCCTCTCTAGCCTTCGGCCTCAGACTCACATTGGAACTCACATCAACAGCTTCTTGGTCTCCAGGAGGATTCTCAGCTTTCATAACCTTAGGAGCAATTTCTTATAAAATCTGTTTTTGTGTGTGGGGATATGTGTGTGTGAGTGTTTTGTATTTGTGTGTGTATGTATTTTTTTTTTTTTTCTGAGATGGAGTCTCAATGTGCTGACCAGGTTTGAATGGGCAGTGCATTGAGACTCCATGGCACCACCACAGGTCACTTCAGCCTCGAAGTGCTGGGCTCATGCTATCCTCCTGCCTCGGCCTCCCAATCAGGGGCATGACAGGTAGGTGCCACTATGTTTGGATATATTTTTTTTAACTTTTGTGGAGATGAGGGGTTGGGTCTATCTATGATGCCCATGCTGATTTCAAACTCGTGGCCTGAAGCAAAGCCCCTGTCCTTCCAAAATGCTGGGATTCCAGGCCTGCGTCATAAGATCTCTTTCTCCAAAGAACCTAGACTAATGAGACTCTCTCTTGGACTCATGGGGCACAGACCAATGAAGGAAGTCATTGTAATTATTCTGATCATTAATAACTTACCTAAAATTTTGCCTAATACCAGGTGAACAACAAGCATCCTGAATTCATCAGTGTGGGGACTTTCTGGAGAAGGGGGGACTGAGGCGTGTGTGCTGGGCACTATCAGAGTGAGGAGGGTGGGCACTACTGACCAGGACAGGCGTAGGCTGTTCCTAGAACTGAGAGTAATCCAGGGAGTTCAGGGACCCAGCCAAGGAGGGTGTTGAGTGCTCTGCAAGTATGCCTAGATGTTATCTTGAAAACAATGGGTTAGTTCTAAGGAAATGAGTGAGCAGATCACGCTGTTTTAATACGACCTCCACCATGTAGGGATCAGTTGGTAGGAGGACAGTATTGATAATGAATAGTGATGAACTCCAATAGTAATCTGACCACTAAACAATGACCCCATGGGTGTCCTAAGTATTTGTGTGGATTTCTTATATAGTCATTGCAAAAGGCCTTTGTCATAAAGAAAAAAAAGTGGACTCAAGAGTTAACGGTTGAGTCGGAGGAAGCAATTCAAGAGAAGATGTTTTTGCCTTATTATACTTTGGAGCTTGGAAAAGCCTTTTTAAAGTTCAAATTCTCCCCGGGAACCATTGGAGGCAAAACCATGTTAATGAATAAATCGTGATGTGGGTGCCTGAGGAGAGGCCGGTGGTGACTTTTGATGAGTTTGCTCTGTGGGGAGGAGCTGTACTTTCTAGAGATGGACAGTCCATTTCTCTTCTGATCTTCAATGACATGAACCTTAGGCAGAGATGTTTATTGGGAGGAAGATGGAGACCTGGGGAAGGATTTTGATCAAGAAAGAGTCAGTGCCAGGTTGACTGGGGGACCAGCATAAATCATGAGCTTTAGCAGGGAGTGAGGGCTTGGATTAGGGACCAGGGGGGAGGCTGATGTGCAGGCTCCAGCTGATCTTGAATGGTGGAGATGGACCCGGGGACCTGGGTGAGAAGGGCACCGGGGCAGAGCTGTTTGGATTTGTTCATGTGTGTGAAGCAGAAGACAGTGAGGACTTGAGGTCTCTGCCCTCTGGGTCTTGGTTCACTGGAGGAGTCAATGGGGCCCTCACAGGACAGCGACCCCAGGAAGAGAAGGAGGCTGGGGACATGTTTGTAAGATGGTTAACTGACAGGCAGAGGAAGCGCAACCTCCCTTCTGGCCTGGGTGTGTGGAAACAACAACACATTTCCTTGTTTCTATAAGTAGTGGCACCTTCTCTTTGTCTTCCGTCAAATATCTGAGTGAGTTCTGTTTCCAACATGCATTTGCCCACCAAGAAATATTTAAACTACGGAAACTAGCAGATGCCACAAATTAAAGCATGTTAAAGTATCGCTGTTTTGGAATCAGCCTATCACTGGTGTATCAAACACCACTGTGATGATTCTAAGTAATGGTAATTCAGGAGAGACCACTAATCCATACACAGCATCTGATAAAGGATGAAGGGCTTATAGGATGCGGTCAGGATGTCAGTGCGTCCTTTTGGATTTACTGTTCTTGGTTGGAATCTGATCGTCTCTCATTTATTTAGTTATTGAACCAGGGTTGGAACTTGGAACTGAAGAGATGGAGGCTCAAAGCACATCAGGAAAAGTGGTGATCAGAAATAAAGGAGACTGTGCTGTGTGTCAGCGGACTAGAGCGTGAAGGTGTGCAGAGGTGTGTTCTGGAAGACCTGTGGGGACTAATGTCACATCTAGAGGTGAGAAAATAAGGGGATCCAGTCAAGGAAAGTCAACAGTGGTGGAGAGAAAAAGTGTCACGGTTTAATGGTCTTATTCCAAAATACCACAGAGAGTGTCCCTCCTCTCAAATGTTGATTCTTTCTTCTCCAGAAATGACCAGCAGTCAATCTAGATAGCTTATGTCCCAGGCTTTCCTCCAGAGCCTCCTGGGATGCTCACATTTGTTTCCAAGGCTCTCCCACTCTGGATGGTGCTTTGCTTTCTCTGGAGTTACCTTCTGGTGGCATCTATGGGGCTTCTCTGGCTGTGCCACTCCTGAAACAGCAAAATCCCAAGGGCCACCAAGATCAAGCCAGCCACGCCCATGCGGATGAGATTCTCCACGGTGTGATCCTGGGGGTGTGGGGCTGCGGATTGTGAACAAGAGGTCAGAGAGGTTAGGGCAGACCAAAGCCACCAGAACCCTGGGATGTTCCCCCGGGGCACCATCCCGCCCTAGACAGGGCCTGATCCTCTGTGCCCACCTGTGACCAAGAGCATCTCCTCACTCACCAGCCTCAGGTGCTATCTTGCTGTGTGAGAGGCTGGTGGTCTCAGCTGCTCCCAACAACCCAAAAATCTGGTGAGGAATTGAGGAGACCTGGACTTTTCCCCTAGTCTCACTTGTCATGATAGAGCTTATATGTCTTTCTTAATTAATCTGCTCTCTGCAGAGCTCCCTGTGGTTTCCTCATGGCATTAGTCAGCATTTTTCTTTTCCATGTATTCAGATCTTGTTTAGCTGAGCCTCAAGAGCTCTGGATTTAGTGAGAAACATGTTCTCCCAACTAGACATAATTGAATCCTTATTTTCATCTCTTTAATTGGGGAAATGAAACCATGTAAGATAATTCCCTGGATGTGATAGTTTCTACTGTTTCAATAGCTGAGGACACCAGATCTGTGTGTAAAAGGTTGGCCCTCAGGGCTCCCGAATGCCAGGAGCGCAAAGGGGTGACAGTCTGGGGCTGCCTCCCCTTCTCTCCATCTCAGCCAGGCCAACCACTGTTTCATTATTTATTTAATGTCTGATAATCTAACTCTTCATATACTCAGCAACATCTGCATTAGGATGCACACACACAAATGCATGTTTTCTAAATGGTGGTGCTGCACTGATTTGTAAAAACAGTACTTCTGTGGGTTTTTTAAAAATATGCATCTTAGTGGCAAGACCAGTAAGAAGCATCTAAAAACATACTTAGGTGGAAAATATTAAGCATATGGAAGAACATTTATAAACATAGATATGTGTAGATAGATGAACATCCATTTACTTATATGCAATTATATAATCATAGATAAAAATCAGTATGTATATAACTAAAGCTAATTACTTAATGGACGTAATGTCACTACATAGTCATTCATATTTGAAGCAAGAAAGTTTTGCATCCATACCACTGTGGACATAAAGATGTCAAATTTGCATTTTCTTGTGGTTGATAGAAATTTCATCAGTGGTTCAGGTCATTTGAAAGGGAATTGTAAGAGAGAGAAACCACAGAAAGTTAATGCAAAATAAAATCAATAAACCTAAAGTGGTAGCTTAGTTATGTATACTTAACTACTATTTAGAAAATCTAAAGGAATCAAGAGCTTATTTAAAAATTGTTAAAGTAGTTGAACAATTCTTAACATTATCTACAAATGTACACAATTTTCATGAGGAAGCTTCAAAGATGGCTACTGGAGGCACGTGACACTGACCTCCTCCAGAAAGAAGTACCAAAATAGCAATTAGGCAATTGTACGCTGGAGGGAATGCTGGGATTCAACAGGGAAGTGACAGGGAACTTTTGAGGCACAGGAGAGGAGCATGAAGGTGCCATGATGGCCACTCTCTGCTCAGAGTCAGGAGACACTTTCCAATGCAGGGAAAGGGAGGAGAGAAATCTCATCTGGTTCACACGCCTACCACAGCCTCCTGCAATCCCAGTTCCAAGAGAGCCCCTCAGCCCTCTGGGCCCTGAGACTAGTGTAGGGAGCTGCCTGGACTCCCCAGGGCAGCTTGGTTTCAGAAGGGGAGTTCATGCTCCCCTCAGGTCCCCCTCAGCCCCTGAGACCAGGAAGCTGCAGGACAGCACTATTTCTTTCTTTCTAATTGTCTTTAACTTTATTTTATTTATGTATTTTTTAAAATTTCAGATTAATAAATGGGTACAAATGATTAGGTTACATTGTTTTCATTGGTTAGGTAAAGTCCAAGTTGTAGTGGAACTCTTTACTCATGAATGAATTAACAAACTATTGTATATGTAGACCATGGAATACTGTTCAGCCATAAAGAAAAATGGACACTTTACATCTTCTATATTTATCTAGATGGATTTAGGGAACATTCTTCTTCTTTTTTTTTTTCCACAGCAACCTCCAACTCCTGGGCTTAGGCGATTCTCTTGCCTCAGCCTCCCAAGTAGCTGGGACTACAGGTGCCGCCACAACGCCTGCTGTTTTTTTGTTGCAATTTGGCTGGAGCCGGGTTTGAACCCACCACCCTCGGTATATGGGGCCAGCACCCTACCCACTGAGCCACAGGTGCCGCCCAGGAACATTCTTCTTAGTAAAGTATCACAAGAATAGAAAAGCAAGCATCTTATGTACTCAATATTAATATGAAGAAGCTAGTAGATGAGCTGCTACACACCCCCATGAGAGAGAAACACAATTAAATTCAAGTAGCAGGGGAGGGGGCTTGGTAAGCTCTCACCTACTGGGTATAACATAGGAGTATAGGACAGCACTATTTTGAGAGCACAGCACCTACCAGACTAACTTCTGCCCTGGGGCCCATCAGCTTCTGCATTTCTGCATACCTGGAGCACCGCGGACAACCTCCTATGTCCACACTGAGGGTCACAGTGTGAGATACTGGTTGGACCCCTTAGTGCAGACAGGTCTGAGAACTCTGGGCCATAGCATATCTCACACCCTGGGGAATGAGCAGTTTAGTACACCAGAGCTTCCTCTCCCAGGAGGTCACAGAAGGAGCCTGACGTGGAGGGAGCTTTGCCCTTTAGGCCAAACCTCTTCCCTGCATACCTCGAGAAACTGAGGCCCAGCTGTGAAGAGCTTGTCCCCAGAGGAGCCTGAATTTAACACATAACTCAGTTCTACCTTCCGTGGGCCCTCCATCTCCCAGCTCAGAGCCCCTCACTTGCCACTTTGGGGCCTGACCCTGTGAGATGAGGGGTGATCCTCAGGCCACCTTGGTAGGGATGGGGAGCTGAGGGGGCTGAGGCTGTCTGCTCCTTAGCTCACTGCAATTGGCCCCTCCCTTAGGCTAGACCTCACATCTCCCCTCCCTGGACCCCTACCCCTCACCAGACAGCCTGGAAGCCTGGGGTTCCCCCCTGTACTTCTGACTGACTCCCAGGCCCCTGGACATAGCCTACCCTTGAGCATTTGAGGGGAGGGAGATCCAGAGAGACTCAGAACCGCCCTGGGGGAGGCCTTGTTCCCTCTGAGATAAGATACTGCAATGACCTACCAGGTACTGAGGTGGGTCCCCTGGGTGGGGGGCTGGGGTACACAGAGGGTCCTGTGATAAGGGTAAGAGGAGGGTGGGGGAGCTAGTGTTTCCCCTGGAGTACCCTTTTCTACCCAAACTTTACTCCTACATCTGCTCTGTGGCCTCTATAAGACCCCCCTATACCTGGCACCCACCCCAGATGATATTGGAGGGAGTAGGCACCCTTTAGGCCCCTGCTGGCCTCCTCCCCTCTGAGAGTGAGACCCTCTGCTGACCCTCCCCCAGATCCCCTCACCCCATCACAGCCAAGATGCATAAGATATGCATCTTAGTGGCAAGACCAGTGGCAAGACCTCTCCTGGAGCAGGGCTCTGAGCTGACCATTTGAGCTCACAGAGGGCAGGGTCAAGGTCCTCACCTGAGACCAAGAGCTCCAGGGGGTCACTGGGCAGTGGCAAAAGTTAGGGGAGGGGCTGAGTGAGCCATAGCACCTGTAGGTTCCCCTGTGGAATAAGGTCACGGGACTCATGGAGAAACTGGTCAGGTGCTGTCCAGCTATGTCCTTTGATCCAAGACGCAGAGGGGGATTGGCTGTCCCCTGCTTGGCCAGAATAAAAGTGTCCATCTCACTCCATGACTGACACAGCAAGGTCACATCCTCTCCTGAGGCCACCCTGGGGCCCGGCTGCACTGAGAGGGAGGGCCTATGAGAGAGCTGTCCTAGAGAGAGGAAGGAGGGGTGGGCGTAGCCCCCACCTTGTTCTGAGCTGACACCTTCTTGGGCCTCTTTCTGAGGAGCATCAGTGTCCCTGTCTCCATGTCTGTGAGTTTCCCCCTCCCCACTCCCCCCATGTCCCTCTGTCCCACTCAATCCCTGAGGCCTCCCCCCTCCTCCAGTGCATTACTCCCTGAAGCCTCCATGGCAGGGCCTGTGCAAAATCTGGGTCCCTGACTGAACCCGCTGGGCTCTTCACCTGAGATCAGGATGTCCAGGGGGTCACTGGGGGCTGACCACTCTGAGGAGAGGTTGTATCCACCGTAGCATCTGTACTGACCTCCATGGGAGCCATTCACAGGGCCCAGGGGGAAGTCAGCCTGAGAGAGCCCAGCCTGGGGCTGCCAGCCAGGGCGCTGGGTGAGGATATATCCCCCATCCTGGGACAGAATGAATCTATTGTAGCCGACATCAGAGAGACACTGGAGGGTCAGGTTCTGTCCAGGGGTCAGGACAGGGCCCTGCAGGGTCAGGAGGGAGGGCTTCCTAGACACACCTGGGGGGAAGGACAGGCCATGAGCTGCAGGGGCCGGTTCCTGTCAACTCCTCAGTGTCCTGCCCTGGCCTTGCAGGTGTCACTGTTTCTCACTCTTGGGGTCTCTTGGCCCAGGAGCTCTTTCTTCACACCTGGGGCTGTTTGAGACATTTCAGACACCTGGGTCCCCCTGCCACGTGGCTACTGCTCTCTTCCTGTTCTGCTCTCATCTGACTTAAGTTCAAGAGGTGACAGCAAACAGCCTTCCTGATTCCCTTTCTCAGGTGAGTGTGACTGAGGATCTGTCCTCCCTCTCAGAGATTCCCGTGGGGTCCTTTCATTTCTCAGCCCATCCCTCATCACCTTGCACTGGGTCCCTACCATGGCCAGTTATCAACAAAACTCCTAACAACTTGTGTGCTGTCCCTAAATGTGTAAGAGAAGGCTGTGGCTTTCTCACCTGACACCAGGAGCTCCACAGGGTCACTGGGGCCCACCCACACCTGGGAGACATTTCTTTGATAGCCATAGCATCTGAAGGTCAATCTGTGGCTGGGGGTCACCGGGCCCACAGGGAACAGGGCCTGGAACTGCCCATAGGGGGTTTGCTGTGAGTCCAGTGTCCAGAAGAGCTTTTGATCTCCTTCCTTAGTCAAAATGAACTTGTCAAATTTCCGCTGTGAGCCACACTGGAGGGTCACATTCCCCCCTGAGATCACCACAGGGCTCGGCAGGGCTGAGAGGGTGGGTTTAGCGTAGACTCCTAGGAGAGAAGGAGGCAGCTGTGTTAGATGGGGCTCACACTTCCCACACCACCTCAGGGCTGGGCTGTGAGAGGGAGATGCTCCTGAGAGCAGACCCCCTTCCTGAGGGCAGAGCTTGAGGCTGGGACCCACAAGTATCCTCTCACCTCTCAATATGAGCACTAGAGGGTCACTCGGGTCTGACCATCCGGACGGGCTGTGATAGTAACAGTGATATTGCCCTGCATGTTGCACTGTCATGAATTGGATGTTGAACTTGGCCTTGTTCCCCGGCTCCAGTGGTTTCTGTGTGACCCAGGGTGCTGAGGTTCCCTTTCTATCCAGTCGATACTCCTGGGCATCCAGGGTCCCCTGACACCATATAGTCACAGGGCTACCCCAGTCGATCACAGTGCTTGGCTCAGCCCAGAGGGTGGGTTTTGGGGGGGTCCCTAGAAGGAAATCAGAGGCTGATCCCAAGACATCCCAACCCTCAGATACCAGGTCCTAGCCTGGAAACCTCCAGATGTCCCTCTTAGTCAGCCCAGGGCTGCTGTTCCCCATCCCCTGCTGCCCAGGGGTGTCCCTTTGTCCCCAGTGAGGAGCAGGGACCTGGGACAGCTAGGGACAGACTCACCTGCCTGCATGCAAGTCCTGGGGCCCAGGCTCAGCCCTGGAAGAGAGTTCCCTATGAGACATATGTCCCCTGAAGGCGGAGCATGTCCCCTCCTCCCTGGGAGCCTCCTGAGCCCCTGAGCCTGGCTGTGAGGTGGGTCCCACCCAGGGGTGGTTCATGCCACGCTAGTCTCCCCCTCACATCTCACCAAGACAGAGCAGGGCTGTGAGGGTGGGGGTCATGGTGTCTCCTCCCAGTGGCCCTGGCCGTGCAGATGGAGAGCACCACGGTGCCCTCAGGACAGAAACTCAGGGTGTGTTCACTGGGAGACTGGGTTCTTTCCGTCATGGGGTTGTCCCATCAGCTGCCCCACAGGAAAAGGAACTGTCCCCCCGCCCTCAGGAGCGTAGTTCTCATTTCCTCAGGGGTTTGGTCAGGGTGAGCACCAGGATCTCTACTGACCATTCAGGTGGAAGTGGGCTTTCCCTGACCCCCAGATACTACCTGGCTTATCTGTCTTCATCTCACTGAAGGTCAGGACCCAGCAGCAAATGGACCTGGTGCCTCCTGTGTCGGCCTCTCCCAGGTGAGGGTGAGGAGTGCCCCCCTCCTCCCTCAGAGTCTCAATGGGGCCCTCTCCTCCTTTAGCCTATCCTTCAGCACAGCAGGGTGGGGTCCTCACCAAGGCCTGTCATCCCACCGGTCCTGGGGATGCTTCAGGGAAGGGGAAAGTCTGTGCCCTTGGCTGACTCAGACCGCCAGAGACCATGATGAATATTTATCATCCACTGCCTGTGTGACCTGGGCAGTGAGTTCCCTCTTTGAGCCTCAGTTTCCTCATTTGGAGCTTGCTGCCAGCAACCCCCCTCCTCAAAGTGAATGAGGGGCTGGGGGGCCAGGGGATAGGAGGGGCTTGATCCTGGGCAGTTTTTGGACCAGGTTAAGACCTGTGGGGTTTTGAAGCTTCTCCATGTAGAGAAGGATCTGCATCAGAAAACAGAGGCCAAAGCTGAGTGGCCACAGATACCTGGGGCCATAGAGGGGTCATTAGGGTGTAGGGTCCCACTGCTGTGTGGAAGCAGTGACAGAAAACTCAGGGTCTGCACAGATGGGACTGTCCTAGTGTCAGGATTCCAGACTCAGGTGGGAGGCTGTTTCATGCAGACACACACATGCAGGCTGGAGTGGACCCAAAGGATGCAGGGCAGTTCCCGCATGGGACTGCTCCCAGCCTCCTAAAGTTGGGCTGAGGGGATTCCAAAGAAGGTGAGAGTAGATGCTGGAGTGTTTGCTCCAAAGTAGGTATTAGGAGGACATCCAGACAGAGGGCCTTGTGGGGTGTCCTCCAGATTGACAGTCAGCAGATATGAGCTGTCCTGTCCAGTGTATCCATCTAAGAAAAACTCAAAACACCACTATCAACAACAACAAAAAAACTACATGACGTTATCTCTAAACACAGTTATCCCCTGATGTACTCAGGGCTGGGAGTCATTTCCATGTTCCCCACACAGTCAGGTGGAGGGAGGTGCCGCCACACTGGAGTCTTGGAGCAAGAACACACAGGAACCAGCAAGTGCCACAAACAAGGCTTTGAGAAAATTTTGTATCCCCAAGGAACCAGGTCATCCGCACAGCAGCCAACTTTCCCACCCAGCGCATGTGTGATCCCTAGTGATGATATTTGTGGAGAAATAATACAGGCAGCTTCTGATGGAGAGCTGGGCATTAGAGTCCATTTTCCACTGATCTTCTCCCAGCAGGATCAGAGTTTTGCCCATTTATCTGGTTATTAAACTCAGTTCTGTGTTGAGGTGGGGAGATAAAAAGTTGATCACACATATCAGGACATGTGCAAGTTGAAAATCAAAAGAAGTTTGCTACATGACAATGGAGCTGAGTATGAGGTCCCAGAGGTGAGGACATAAACCTGCCCTGGGGTATGTGCCCTCATGTCACAGGGGAGAGGACAGGAGGAGGCACAATCAAAGAAAGTCGGCAAAGGGTGGGAGGGGAGCACCATGGTCTAGTGGGGGCAGAGTCCTCTGCAGACAGTGGACCTTCCCCTGTACCTGATCCTGTCCTCTGCTCATATTCTCAGAGGCCTTTCCCCACTTTCTGCCCCAGACTTCGTTGCAGAATCTCCTGGGGGCTTCACATTTGTTGTTGCAACTATGATAAGAGCAAAGGTTCATCTTTGAGCAGAGTGTGGTTGGGTAACATTTGTTGCAACAGATCAAACATCCTATGGCAGTAGGGAGTGACCCAGGCAGGGTTCTCAAATGTTTTGCTAACATTTTTAAAATCTGCTAGATTTTTGGGCCATGTGGGTGATGGGCCCCAGAAGTGCTGGCATCCCCATTGAATCATTTGATCAGGACCTCAGTGAGTGAGGTCATGAATGTGGCACAATTTGAGCCAGTAGCAAGTTTAGGGTAGGACAGGCCATAGGTTTGGGTGTCAACCATAGCTGTGTGTAATGTGTCCTGGTCAAACATGCAGCCTTATTTAATCCATGTTCCCTCTATGCTCCTGGTGACAGAGTCTGGTGTTCAGACAGGGGAAGATAACCTGAGATGAGGGTGTGGGTCAGGGTCTGGAGGAGCAACAAGCAGCAGGAGACAGTCTGAGGCAGTGGACCTGGCTGGGGAGGAGCAGCTTCAGCATCTTGGTCCTCCTATGACTGCCCAGAGCCCAAGACATAGCCCTTGTTTTCACTTGTGTGTCCAGCAGGAGTCAGACATCCTCACTGTTTCCAGAGCACACCAGCATCATGAGGCACTGTGAAGGCAGAGTGACTGTCCTGTCTATGTTTTTGCCAGACACAAAGGGTGTCTTGCCTTTGGCCAGAAGGAGGCAGCCCTGGTTAGGGCATGTAGTTTAGCCTGTGGGGTGAACTTAGCCCCAAGACCAGACTGTGTCACATCATGAAGGGAACTGACAGTGTGAACTGTCTTTCGGGACCTGTCATGAACCTGTCATAGTCTGGACAAGATGGTGAGTCTCGTGGAGTCCATTCAAGGCATCAGGAGTGGGACTGTGAGACCCCCACAGTCATGGTCATCACTGGGGACAGAAAGTGAGGTTGTAGGGCTGAGGATACTGCAGGAAGTTGGGGCTGGGGGGGAGGGAAAAGAGAAAGGAGCTCACAGTGGGCAAGGTGGCTGTCAGAGAGTCCTGAGTAAGGGGGGCTGAGAAGGGCTCCAGCAGATGAGGGACACGCCCCGTGAGTGAGAGCCCACAGCTGGGTTTTTACCATCTCTCCTGGAGTGTAGATGGCTTATCTGCACATGGGCAGGGGAAGCCTTGGGCTGCTGGATGGTGCTGTTGACTCCAGTAGCCAGGGGGAGTGGTGTCCACCAGGGCCCTGAATGAGTGCACTAAAGCCAGTGCCTTCCCTGTTATGAGTAAGAAAAGGGGCAAGTTATAGTTGGGGTGACCCAGAATAGGGGCCAGGGCAGGCTGGTGTTTGATTTTTTTGAAAGAAATGTTGAGCTTCAGAGGCTATAGAATGGGATCGGGGTTAGATTCTTTAAGGAAGTCATGAAATGGTTAACAGAAAAATTAGGGATCCAGGAACAGCAGTAACTGGCAAGCCCCTAGAACTCAGGGTTTTTTGTGTTGGTACCCCAACCTGGTTTGAATGCTGGCTGGGAAAACTATGCTGAAGATCTGCTAGTTTAAAACAAAGTCTGAAAATGCCTGGAGAAGGAGTACACTAACTCAGGTTGAGTAAATGGAGAAATGCAGCCCCTCTCTGGCCTCTTTAGAAGACTTTTAAAAATTTCTAACAAAGGTGCATAAGCCAAAGATAGGGTTGAGAGAATCCCAAGTTCCCAGGAAAACTGGATAGAGAGAGAGGCTGGGTAAGCAGCTGGGGGTTGGTAAACAGCCTACGGTTTACCAAAGGGAAATGGAGAAGGTTATTCTATTCATGCAGGGGAAGTAAACCAGGTTTCCTAATCTAACTTCATATTTAAAGACTTTAATCCCTCCCATCTGTTGACTCCGGAACACATAGGCCTAGTCTCGCCTGTCTAGGTGCCTCCTGGTTCTTTTCATCTTCTGTGGATTTGAAAGAACTTCCAGGGATTGTTCTTCTGAAAACATTCCCCTGGATCTCCCAGGATTGAGGCAGGGTGCCCTATTGAGAAGTCAATTTATATACTTTCCACAATGTAATTGTCTTTTTGTTTGGGGAACAGGAAAGTTAAAATGTTTCAGATTTATGTAGGGTCCAGATTCAGACCATGGGATATTAACAGGTGACCCAGGCACATGACAGAGGTTTCACAGAGTTGGAGCTTTCGTTTGGAGACCTGGTGTCTCCTGGAAGCCAACCTGTTAAGGAGGTGAAAGGTGTCCTATAATCGCACACTCTCTGCAGGGGCATAGAGGGACAAATCACACTCATTCTGCAGCAAGGTGAACCTAGTAGGGAACACAATGTCAGCCAAGTCTGCTCTGAGAACTGGAACTCAGGGAGAAGCAGGTGGAGCTCTTAATGTATTCTGAGGGGCCATGCAGGTGTCTTGTTAACTGCCCCAAGTGAAGGCCACAGGCCCTGACCTCTGTGCCTGCAGGAACGCTGAGAAGGGCACCACAGAGACTGATAGGTGAAAATAGGCACAGCTGGGAAGAAGGTGTGGAAGAAGGGGGCTGGGACCACCTGGTGGGAGGTAGGACCATGTTGCTGCAGCTCTGTGATCCTCCAGAAACTTCAACCTTCCCCATTTGGTTTCTGTTCAGGTAGGATGGGTGTATTACAAGGGCTAGTGCAGGGAAGCTCAGTTTCTTCTGGATAATCGAGAGAGAGAGAGAGAGAACACATTCAGTAGGAAGAACACATTCAGAAGGAAGAAAATATGAACAACATACAATCAGGAAGGAGATCCTTGGGGGAAATTCAACTCAGGTACAAATGGAAAATTAAATTAAATTAGGGAGAGTGGCTCTTTTACAACTGGAACTTTATCCTGGAAGTGAAAACAATGTAATCTAAAAATTTGTACCCTCATATTCATTTGAAATAAAAATAACAATAAAAAAACAGAATGTAGAAAAAAAAGTAGAAACATCAAACATAGAAAAAAAATTAAAATAGGGCAGGATGGCCAGGCATCCATCCACTCTGGGCCAGGAGAGAAACCTCCCAGCAAGTCGAGCTAAGCCTGTTCCAGGACAGAACTCCAGCATACAACTATAGTTATGTTCAGTAGACATAAGCTAAGCAGTTAGGTTT